GCACACACATCAGGGGCATCAGCTGTCTGTCCACACACAAGCCATTCCACGTCTATTCAGATTAGTAGTTCTGAAAAGCAAAGCAGCACAGCCACCCGGAGGCTTGTGAGGACACAGCTTGCTGGGCCCACCTGAGTTCCTGATTCAGGAGGTCTGCAATGGGACCTGAGACTCTGCATCTCCAACAAGTTCCCAGGTGAGGCTGAAGCTGCTGGTCTAGCACCCACTTCGAGAATCACTTGTAATAGTTGATTTCTAAGGCATCCTCATGAGATCCGGAGGCCAAGTGTGAAAGCATTCTGAGTGTGAATGACGTAAGAAGACAGAGGACTCTGAAGTAGAGAGGATCAGGTCTCAAAGGAAGACTGGCTTAGCAGGAAACTTAGACTTTCTCGAATGATCCAACAACACACAAGAGCCTTTGGCTGCCCAAATTCTGATGGGCCCCTTACCCTTGCTTTCTTTCCAGGGTATTTTCTGCCTGCTGCCCCCAGGAAAGGCAAGTCTCGTGGCAGCCCCAGCGAGGATGAAAGGCAGCTCTTTCCCTGGCCATGGGCAGCCCCTTCCCGGAGGGGAGTGTTCACACAGCTAATCAGGCTGTCAACATGCTACTCAGACCTCTGCACAGATTCCCGAGGGCGCCTGACATTTCTTAGAATTTACACAGGACTCAGTGAAGTCTTAAACAATGGTTTCTTTTTCTTTCTCTCTCTTTTGAGATCATTTACTTCCTAATAGGATAAATTCAAAGGAAAACATGCTCTGATCCTTCATCCGCTTCTCAACACAAACAATAAGGAACTAATTAGCAGGTCTGCCAATGAGGCAGGCAGAAAAGGGTCCCTACCAGGACCACAGGCTGGGAAGCCACCTCTAAGGTAGGGCTTCATGACTTTGGTCATCACGTCAGGAGTTGGTTCCATATCTCAGTGGAATAGAAACTGATATCTGAGTGTCTGCCTGGTATTACCATGGCATTCACTGGGGATATTATTCTGTTAGTGATGGAGCTCACATCTGACAGCATTTTGACATCCCCACTTTCATTTGACTCTATCAAGAATCCTATGGGGGGCCGACCAAGTGGCTCAGTTGGTTAAGAGCTCGCTCAAGTGTTTGAGCTCTGAGCAACAGCGGTTCAATTCCCAGCCCAAGCTGAGCTGCCGCTGAGCTGCCAACAGGTAGCAGGATGGCTCAGCTAAAAAAAGAAAAAAAAATCCTATGAAAGAAGCAGAATGGGAATGATGACCCCATTTGGCAGACAAGACAATTGAGAAGGGAGGCTCAGAAGAAACAGTGGATGTGAAGTTGAAACACAGGATTGTACTCTTGGCTCAGCCACTCAATGTGTGACCTTGAGCAGGTCTCTTTTCCTTTCTAGGCCTTGGCTTTACCATCTGTGAAATGAAGGGAGTGAATAAGATGAAGGTAAGGTCTTCTTACATGCTTCTTCTTCTAGGAATAAGCTACATAAGGAAGAGCATTTGCCTGAGGTCATGCAATTAGTGAGGTGAGTAATAACGACACAGAGACAAGTACCCCCTCTGTTGAGAGTGAGCCATCAGAGCGCCCCCAGTGCCATCCAATGCCATCTCCCTGACAGTGGGCCTCTGATTGTTCTTTGGACCTCAAAAAACCAAGACCGCTAGTAGTGGTGTGGTAGGGGGATATGTACCCAGAATGCTCCATGACTGTGACTGGAGCCCCCGTGATGCCAGCTGCTCATTACAGAAGGCTGTTTACTTTGGCACCGTTTTCACCAAACAAACCCAATGGGCACCTGCCCCTGCCAGGCCTTGTGCTAGGTGACGGGATATGGAAGTGGAGAAGACTTACTGTCTATCTATGAGAAAGTCACAATGTGGACCGTTTACCCAGCTGCATACTACTGGGTGGGTTGTGCTTGGCCAGGAGCCGGGTCCAGCCCCCAGTTGGATCACAAAGCCTGTCCCCAGCACGGAGCTGAATCAGCCTGAAGAAAGGGGTACCTTTTAAGTAACTTACACACAGGCACTAGCTGCAGCCCAGGTGAGCATGATCTTTTCAAGGCGAATGCAGGATCCATAAAATTTTAGGAGGGGGTCAAGTTTAGAGCCGCTCACATGTAGATATCATCCTCCACACACACCAGGGAGAGTACATGCATACGTGTGACTGCAACCAATCCATTGGCTGAAAGAATTACGTGCTCTCTTCCTGAGAGTCAAACCTTCTAACCACATGGAGTCACTGAACTCAGCTAGCTTCCTATCTGTAATGTGGTGGTAAATCACTAGATAGCCAACAAAATCAACTGGGCATGTCTCAGGCACAGTGATTAGACTTCCTGGGGGAAACCAAGATGAACACAAGATGGCCCACAAGGAACCCAGGGGCTCCCAGCCTAGGAGAGCACAAAAGATACTGACACAAACATCCATAAGACATAATGGTTGGTGCTAGAAGATCCGAGTGATGAGATGAGGGAAAGGCGACATAGAAATTTGGAGGAAGGAAAGATTACTTCCCACTGGGGACCCAGAAAGCCTTCATGAAGGAGATGGCGTACGGATAGACCATCCATCAAGACGCAAGAAGGCCCAAATTCTAGTGCCCCTTCTGCCACCATCAGTCCAGTAATCCTGAGAAAGCCAGTTCTCTGTGTTTTAAAATGGACACTTTACGACCCTAGATGCCTCACAGCATTATGAGAATTACATGAGAACTGATTTAAATGCACAGCGGATAAATAAAAGCACCAAATATAAAGCCTTTCGTCATCACTCAGGGAAGAGAAGGGAGGAAGCAGGTGGGAGCGGGTGGCGCCTGCCAAACACAGGGCTGATGTGAACACCTACCGGGCTCATAACTGGCTCCAGCGACTTTTTAAAAAACCTCCAACAGATGATTTTATTGAAGAAGAGTAAGTCAGAGCATCTACATGCCTCTGCAGCAGGAAAACAAAAGTCCCAATCAGAGAAGTGGCTTCCCGCCCAGTGAACCTGGGTCCCCTCCCCGGCTCCCAGCACTGGGCCTGCGCCTGGTGTGCGCTCAGCAAGCACTCGTGAAATGAAAGGATGGGGTCCTTACTCCTTTTAAAGGGCTTTACATTCACGCTCCACTTTGATTCACAACCACAAGCCAGTGGGGCAGACACGGCACATATTTCAACCTTGTCAAAGATGGGGAGACTGAGGCTCCCAGAGGGCGACCACCCATGTCCCAAGCCAGCCCCATCCGATGGGAGCCCCGGCCTCTGCATGTTCACACAGCGTCATTTCCTCACACCGTGCACCTCCCGGGAATTATAACTACAGCCAATCTTTGCCCCCAACAAACCGCCTTCCCTGACTTCCCTGGAGGCCTTCTATGTGCTGTTCTGAGCACTTTGCCTGTAATACTTCACTTAATCAGACCCTGTCAGCAAAGATGGCCTTGCCGTTATTCCCAATGTACTGGTTTATTCCAATTCAGAAGGTGGTTCTATGCATCCCAGAAATAAGGGTGTCATGGATTCTCTTATTACCAAATAAGAACTGATCTGAGTTAAAACCTTTGGTTCAATTGTTTGGAATCATTGCTACTTAGAAGAGAACGTAAAAACAAGCATAGGGCGTTAGGAAGGCAGGAGGACATTGTTTTTGTTTGTTTGTTTGTTTCGTTTTACCATGGACATCCCTGCCCACAGAGCTGGCTGTCGGTTTTGACAGATGGTCTGGCTGCAGGAGGCGGGCAGAGGGTGAACTCATAGTTAAGGTGGCACCAAGGAGCTAGAGCCAGCTGAGCTGATTTGGGCTCTGAAATCTGGGCCAGAGTCCAAGTTCCAGCCAGTGAGCAGGAGACAGGGAACCCGGCCTCTGCCTCCTCTAGACACCCCTCCCACTGTTGCTGCACCAGACAGGTCAGTGCCTTTCTATGTATCTGTGACCTTCGGACTGCAGGCAAATGGGGTTCTGAAGCATGTTCAAGGTCAGCTACCCTCCCCTTTCATCACCCACCCCAGCCACCTTGGCTGATAACAGCTTATGGCGTACCTAGGGACTGTTTTTAGTCTAATAAAAATTTATGGCATAAAGGTTTGGGCAGGAGGTTGGAAACGACACTCACCTTCCCCCCCCCACCCCCCAGCTCTGCTGAGGGGTGTCTGGTGATGTGTGCTCAGGCTCAGGTGCTTAGAAGCTCCCCTAAAGTGGCAGGAACGAGGGGGTGGGGGAAGGGGAATAGAATTTCAGAGGTCTCCCAGCCCTGGAAGGGAGATTAGATAAGTGGATCAGGTAAGAAGAGGTCTAGAACCTTGAGAAGGAGTGTCAGTACCTCCACCAGCGTGGCTGGCTCAGCGCTGATCTCTGCAGATGGAGGAACATTTAGCCACCTACCGCATGGGGTCTCAATAGCACCATCCAGACACCCATAGCTTTAGTATCACACTGAGAGGCCAGGGCATCATGGGATCTGGGAGAATGGAGCCAGTCTCTGAATAATGGACGTGGGGGATTAGTTGATCAGATTAGCTGATCGTGCCCCTTGTTCACTCACTGACAGAGAGAATGGGACACAGAGTGGGTCAGCTCTGATGGGAGGAGGAGGTAAGGTGAACCGGCGTGGAAGGCTGGTATGGTGGAAGCCTCATCAGGAGCCCTGAGCAGGAAGCAGGGAGAGGAGGTGCTTAGGTGGACAGCAGGGGTAAGAGGATGCTAGAGGCAAATTCACCAAGCACGCAATTTTAAAGCCATAGCATACAGAGCTGGAAGAAATCTTAGAGCTCAGCTAGGCCAACCCTCTCTTATACAGCCTGGAGTTATTGGTTATGGCCACGTGGTAGAGCCAAGACTAAGAACCAGACACCTCCTTCCCCCCAACAACAACTTTTCAGACCAGTGCTCTTTCCAGCACCCTCCAGCCTCCCCAGAGACTGACCCCAGTTCCCTGATTCCCAAGGGGCTAGGAATTCCCTCTTGAACACTGTGAGCATTCTTGAGGATCCCATGGGCCACCCCATCAGCCATTCCGGCCACACATACCTTGTGAGAATAATGCTGGTCTACGATCCTCGCCAACCCGAAGTCCCCGATCTTGAGGACAAGGTCCTCCGTGCTGATGAAGATGTTGGCGGGCTTCAGGTCCCTGTGCAGCACGTTGGCTGAGTGGATATACTTGAGCCCACGGAGCAGCTGGTACATGAACAGCTTGGCATGCTCCTCGGTCAGTGTGCCCTGCTCCAGCAGCCGGGCCAGGTCGGTCTCCATGTACTCCTGGACGATGTAGGCCACGCTGAACTTGAACAGCTCGCCCTGCAGGTCGGCACCCTTGGGCCCCAGCACCTCGTACACCTTCACGATGTTGTCGTGGTCCAGGCGCCGGATGATCTTGACCTCCCGGAGCGCATGCTTCATGCTGCGGGCGTCACTCAGAGTGAGCTTCTTCACAGCCACCTTCCGGCAGGCTCTGCTGTCCATGGCCGACAGCACCAGCCCATTGACGCCAAAGCCCAAGGGTTGGAAGTCAACAAAGCGCCCACCGAGGTCATACCCGTAGACACTGGCGATGCAGTCGCCCTTTTTGGCCATGGTTGGGTCAGTGGTGGTCAGGGGCTGCCCGTGTGACGAAAGGGCAGTTGGGAAAGGCCGAGTCCCAGCTAGTGGCCTCTCTAGCACACCTCATTCTGTCAAGTTCCAAAGCTGAGGGATGCTTTTTCTCATGGTGATGTCACTGTCACCAGCTCTCTGGAGACAAGAGTGGCACACGTCCATGCTGGCTGAGCTGCAGAAGTTGGAGCTCACACTGTTTTCTTAACCTGCATGGGGAGGGCTGTCCACCAACTCTTGCATATCCCAAGTCCTCCTCCACACTTAGAATAGCTCATGCTTCTTTCAAAGATAGCATCTTGGAAAGAAAAACCAGTCTCATTATCTATGTGAGCATCAAGTTTTCTATCCTAATGGACCACAAAGAAAAGGTGCAGAAAGTCTCCCCTTTAAATCCTTTTGTTAAAAGATGTTCCCTCTGGCTGAAATGAGGAGCTGCTGCTGAGCTGTTCCCTTACTGACGATGGTCCAAACTCAGTTGTATCACAGCCTCTGGCAGCTTGGTAGCTGCTCTCTGTGTCCTGAGCAGAATGAAGGGATCCCAATAACGGATTCTGGAGGCTTCTAGGGGCTTCTTTTTACCTCTGCCAGCTCCCCTTGTTATCAGCTCACCTTAGATTCTGCAACCCAAACCAGCCTGGTGAGCATCGGTGAAGAAAGCTGGAGAAACCCAAGCACCTTTCATGAGCTCTCCACCAAGGTACACCTGAAGTCCCGAGTCCGAGGGGAGCTCAGCTGTCAGGCCGGGGTCCTCTGGAGGCTTCAGATGGAGGCACATCCTGTCACCCCTTCATCCACATCACCGAGAAAGAAACTGTGTTTTGCTCGACTCAGAGAGGCTGCAGGAACGTGGCATCTTGCAGACCGAGTCTCCTCTGTCAAAGAAAACGTTGGGTAAATTTCCACACTCGGGCTTCCAACACCTTCCCACTTGTGTGTCTTTTGTTAACCAGCCCAAGTGTTATTTGATCTGTCCAGCCAGCTGAAACACTGCTTGCTCAGGGGATTCCAGGCTTTGCATTGCGCAGCCACCCCTCCTGCTGTGTGCAGCGCTCCCCTGGAAGACACAGAAGATGGATTGATTTGATAAGATCATCAAACGGTGTGCCTTTTATGTAAATGCTTGCTCCCTGAAAGGTTAACATGCACAAGTGGTGGGTGGCAATGATCAGCTCTGACCTTTGTGAAATTTATTCCTAATGCTCTCCAAATACACACATCAGCATTAGCTGGGAAGGGTGAGAGTAAAAAGTAACTAGTTGCAGACAGAAAATAAAGGATCAACAATCTTGTTTTTCCACTTGGACGCCCTTACTTCTTTCTTTTGCAAAGGTCTTTGAATACTTTAATAGAAAATTTGCCATGCACTGAGATTTAATTACAATTGCATCTCTTGCTTTCCACACCGGTAGCATAAACACACATACTAAATTACAAGGAAATTATATTGCCACCAAAACAGGGCACAAACTTCTTAGTGCAACACCAGAACTGGCATGGTGAAGTGTACTCTTTTTGATGATGGGGACTAACTCTTTAAAGCAATGGGTCAAAGCCAATCCTGACTGCTCCCTGGTGGCTGCTGACTCAAATTACAGGCATAGGACCTAACTGGGAAGAAAAATCCAAAAAACTCACATTGTAAATTCAGATCTCTGAAGTAAAGGCACTAATATCATAGCTTATAAGGAAGTGGCAGGTTTTATAAGTTTATTAAGTCCATGGACACACAGAGAACAAAAACTACATCCAGCAAAAATGAGTGAATCTAGCCAGGGCTGCCTCTTAATTCTCATCATACTGTAGGGTCCCCGGTAGGAATGCTTTCCTATCTGAACTCCACAACTCTGCAAATGGTAAATAAAACAAAACAAAAGTCAATGCTCTGAAACTAAGAAGGCAAAGTAGGGGACACAGATGATCTGAAAAAGTACCGTATTTCTCCATGTATAAGACACTCCCATGTATAAGACGCACCTTAATTTTGGGGCCCGAAATTTAAAAAAAAAATGTATTACATAAAGTTATTGAACTCAAGTTTTATTCATCATAAAATTCATACAACTCCTCATCATTGTAAAAAAAAATCTACAACCACTGTATAAGACGCACCCAGTTTTTAGGCCCCAAATTTTTCGAAAAAAGGTGCATCTTATACATGGGAAAATACGATAAATAATCATATCCTCTAAAAATTTCTAAAGCAAGAAATTTGCCAAGGGTCTGGAACTTAGTAATTGCTTAACAGATGTTATCTATCGTTGCTATTGTTGAAAATTCCCTTACACTTGAATAAGACGCACCTACTATCCTGGTGTTTTCGTCAAATCTTCAGCAATTCTACTCTGTGCGTTTTTATTGGGCCCACCAGCAAAATAATCATAGACTTGCAGAATTTCAGACTGGGAAGCAATCCTAACAAACAAGTCCAATGGTCCTTATGGGGATGGTCCTGCATTCCTGGCTCATTTGAGGAAGTGTCACTACTGGCTTTTGATGGGCAGGGCCAGATTTGCTAACCATCCCCATCAGTGAATAGCCGACACTCACTTGTCATTGAGAGACAATGATTCTAGTCCAAGTTCTCACTTTGCACATGCAGGTACTGAGGCTCAGAGAACACCAGCTCAGTGTTTCTAGCATAGACAAAGTCAATCAACATTTGATGACATGATCAATGAATACTTTTCATTCTGTTTGAAGAGTCCTAACCAGTTAGAAACAGTGCTGGGACCACCCACTCCTGGATGCCTAATTCAGAAGGAAAAAAGAGCCATCCTAGTGCCCCATTTCACCCCCCTCTGACTCCTGCTGCTCAAGTCAGGTACAGAAACGGGAGCTTCTTTCACCTTCTACCCCAGGCCTGCTCTGGATCCCAAGGGCACAGCAAACAGAGGCAATTATATATTTTGCTTTATGAGGAGAGGCTTAAGCCTTCTTCCCTTTCCAGATCTCACAGGGTTGTAAACAGAGCCGGGAACCAGCGCCTAAGCAGAGAGGAGATGACATCACCAGCAAGCCAACAGCAGGATTTGTTTGAGATCAGCTGCAATGCAGATAATCTGTGAATAATTAAGAGGTGCTTTATTTATTTTTAAAACTCTTCCCTTTTCCTCTCACAGAGGGGAGGGACTGTCTTCCCTGCACATGTGTGTGTGTCTGTCTCAGGGATCTTCCTTAACGCGCTGTCAGGTTCAGTGGGCAGGTACCAGGTCACCTTGTGTAGTCCCGCTTGCAGCCACTCTCCATTCCTCGTGGGCCTCTAAATATGCTCTTGCCTCTTTGCTTGTACCTTTCCAGTTCCTGAAATGTTCTCCTGCTTCCTCCCGACTTGTTGAAATCCTGCCCATCACTCAGAATCCAGATAAAGCCCCACTTTTTCTCTGATGTATCCATCCCAGTCCTCAGTGACATTTCTCCCCTTTCTAAACTCCTGTAGTGTCCCTGTGTATACTGTGTTTTGACACTTACCATATACTAATCTGGGTTGCTGTTTAACTTTTTATACATGTCCATCTCCCAACTAGACTTTAAGCTTAAGTCCAGAGCACAAAGCAGCACTTAGAAAATAACTGTAGGTTGGAAGTACCCAAGGAACACTAGTTATGTCTCCATAATTGTGACACCCACATCTCCTAGACACTCAGCCTCCCCTTCCCATGCTTGCTGCTCCAATGCACCTTCTCACAACAAGCCCAAGCACTCAGACAAACCAATATTTCTGAACTTCAACTCTCGTAGTATCATCTTCTGCTCAGCTGCTGCCTCTCTTAGAATTTCAACACTAAGCAGGCAGCCCTCGTCTGACCATTTCCCTATTTCCATTTGAGTTTACTGTTGTTATTCATCTCTTCTTAAACCTTCTTATTTTCTAAGTTTCTTTCTATAATTCCTCTATAATCTCTGTCAACCCTTTGTCTTTCTCCACAGATGGACTGATTACGAAACACCTATTACCTATTACCTAAGAAAGGCTCAGGTTAGTGGTTCCTTTGTTGTGTGATATACCAAGAGGCATGGGTCCATCAGCCCCAGGGAGGGGCCGCCCTGGCATCTGGGTGTGCCCACCTGGGCAGAGAAGTAAGTATGGCAGCTCTTGGCGTGAAGCCCAATCACTCTCCATTTGGAGCTGGGGCTCAGAGCTGCTCTGAATCACAAGTGTTATTTCAAACCAGGGAGTTGGCATTCACCTCGAGAGAAGGAAAAGTCATGGGTTCAGCCGTGCTCGAATAACACCCAGCAAAAAGAATGCACATAACTCTTGCAAAGGAAGCCCAGGCTCCCACAATTCCATGGTGAATGTCATAATAAAACACAAAGGAGAAATATCTACCTCCGGGCTCCTAACAGTGGAGCTTCATCTCTCCACTGATTTCTCACTGACTCTTCAACAATATCTTATTTGAGTCCAATTAATTATCCTCTGACACATCCAACCTTTTAATATGTGGAGGCAAACCAGAGATGAGATGGCGTGTGCCAACTGTCCCTTTCTGGAATTCCTGGGGCTCTGGTTTACAAAGCAGCTTTGGAAAGTCTAAATTTAGACTCACCTCCTCCGCCTGATCAGATCCTCCCAAACCTCATGCTGTTAACTTTCAGCAAGAATTGTGGACCCCCCCCCGTGAGGTGCTGACATTTCACAGACACTGCTTTCTTCTCTCCCCTGAGCACCCAAAAACTTGTAGGAAATCCTTCTCAGGTAGCTTGCAGTCGAACAGGCTGTACAGTGCATGATTCCAGGTGGCACCATTCATATCACAGTCAAGTCCATCTGACGCTAAGGCTCGTGATCTGAGTCACCAGAGTCTATGTGAATGAAGTCCTCTAGACCAGATATCGGCACATTTTTTCTATAAAGTGCCAGAGAATAAATATCTTAGGCTTTGCAGGGCAGTCTCTGGTGCAACTACTCAACTTTGTAGCACAAAAGCAGCTATAGACGATACCCAAAGGAATGGCGTGGCTGCGTTTCAATGAACCTTTACTTACAAAAATAGGTGGAGGGCTGGATTTGTCCAGGGGGCTGTAGCTTCCAATTCCTGCCCTAGGTTATGTAGGAACATCCTCTAGCTGGTTCCCCAAGAGCCACTGGAGAGTGTTGTGACCCAGGCCCCTGCCAGCTCTAGCTGCTCTGTCCTCTCTCTCCCATTCTCAGTCTTCCTGTTGCCCCTCACATGCGCACTATCCCAGGTCTGCCCCCTGACACACTCAGGGAGGTACCCTGAGCTTGGACCCCACCCGAGGCTTAGTTCAGCTCACCTGTAGGTTTCATGTGCTCGGGGCCCAGCTCTATGCTTTCCACAAGCTACCTCCTAGTTCTGTGATTCTGTGGTGCTGTTGTTATCCGTCACTCCTAAACCGCACTTGCATTTTAAGAGGCCTTCTGAAGAGGTGGGGAAGACGCCATGATGAAGACTGGGTAAGTACACTAACTGAGGGTTAACCATGGGCCAAGGGCTCTGCCTAATTATTTCAGTCGGGTCTCAGAAGAACCCTATAAGGTAATCATTATTCTTCAATGTAGCCTTTAGAGGGAAGAGACTTGCCTAAAGCCACACCCCTAGCTAGTGATGAATCTGGGATGTAAACTCAGGCCTGACTCCAAAGCCCACGCTTCTCATCACCAAAGCTCATGATCTGGGCCCCCATAGCTGGCTCTCACCATGAACCATTGGCTCAGTGTGACTTCTTGGGCCTAGTGAAGGACAAGTTTGGGGTAGGCACACTTTGTAGTACCTCTCAAATTAAAGTAAGAAGTACTCACTTTTCAGCCTGTGTTCAGTCCCAATGTGGAGGCCACGGTTAATAAGCCCACTTCATGGGAAGAGAAATTGAGAACTACAATGTCAAAATGAGATTAAGAGTAGAGGAAAAAAACCCATCAAGTGCAAACAACCGTAACACTGTTATCCAACTGTAAACCTCAAATACACCAGAGTCTGTGGCTGCAGGGACTGCCCATCCTAGTAGTGAGCTGAGCTGACCATTCGCCCAGCTGGCTAACTCGCAAAGGCCCTGGAATCCAACACTGGCCACCGACCCAGGAGCCATTCC